AAGGAATCTAAATCTTGCATCGAGGACCCTGAAGTTTCCACAAATAAAACCCGAACGAACGGATCTTAACGGCACTATTCATATGAGTCACAACTTCATCACTTAACCCCACGGAAGACACTCTATTCACGCGCATGGTCCACCTTCTTCTTCCTCGGAATGGCGGCATAGGGAGTGGTGGCCGGCTCATGCTCCGGCCATATATGGTCGTCGCCGGCCATGGTGAAGTGGCGGAGGGACCACAGGCCCCGTCTTGCTGGCGCTGGTCTATCCAGCCCGGCTGAGGTGGCTTGTGGCGGCGCGGCTCTCGCAGCAAAGCGGGCGAAGCTTAGCCACCGGCCATGGCGACGCGTTGCATGCGGCGGTCGGCGATTGCTGTGGCGAGGCGACGCGGCAATGGCGGTGTCTGCAACGAATGCGTACCTAGGCATCGAGAGGCGAGGGCGGCAACAAAGATTGGCGGCGCAGCGAGCTCGGCGGTGGCATCCATGGTGGCCGTGCTTTCGGCGTCTTGTATGAGAGAGGAAATGCGCCAGGAGGGCGAGAGCGAGGAGGAGGCATGGAGACACCCGGGCGCTCGGTTTGAAGCAAGCAGGGCACGAGGCGCGCGCGGCACGGAGGAGGTCGGACGCGTGGCGTCGGCCATGGTGGGGCGCTTCTGGTGCATGGCCGCCACGAAGTCATTTCATCGAAAGTACGTATGGCGCGTTCTGTTGTGCCCGACTTGGAGTCCGTTTTCGGCATATTCGGTGCAGATTCAGGGCCTTGGCGCCTATAGAAAAGTTGCTGTCCTCGAGAATGCTCTTCGACTTTGATTAAGGGTGCTCGGCCATTAGGCTGTTGGATTAGCATATAATTAGTACTAAACTTGATAGTGTCGGTTGATTTGTGGTGACAAGCAAACATCCAAAATTGATGGTCGAAATGAAATGCAACTAGTGCCATCTTCTTGTATGTTCTTCCCCATAATGTAAGCTCCAACTTTTACATTTGGATCAACTGAAGTTGCTTAGCAAAATTTGGAGAACGCGGAATGTCATCGCCGAGGCCCAAGATTTCAGACTTAGGTCTACAAGCAATGGCGATTTCGATCTTGTAACCTCTGTTTGCATCATCTACAAACTGAACTAGGGCATACTCCAAAAACAAACTATGTTGTACTCAAAACAAAGAACAACTTTTATTAAAGGATCAAGGCCTGGATCAGCTCGGTTTGCAAGATATAAAGCTCCAAAGTAGGGTACCCGCAGTCCAACCTCAGTTAGGACTTAGCCAAATTCCTGGGCTCCAAAACAGCACTGTATTGAATCTTGTGAGTTCCATTTGACTAGGTTAGAGGCCAAAATAACTCTTGACCTTTAAACAAAGTTTGTTCTACATGATATGGACTACAACTTTCATTTAAGGTCCAACCTCAAAACTGGTATAGAACCTACTGTTCTACTTTGACCAAAGTAGGATCACGATGAAGCTTAAATTATCCTTTTTGATCCATTGGAGCGTTTTCGTGGCATTTGCCCAACATGAACCTTTCATGACTTTTGTTGTAGAGTTCATCTAGAGTCATTTGGGCATGGTTGCAAAATTTGGTTGATGATCGAGAATTCCATTCACTTTATAAATTAATTCAAGCAAGGACATAACTCGTCATTTCATGTGACTTTTTGATTCCAAACTTCATGAAACTTTTCGAGTGCCCAATATAGATGGGTATTGATGTGAGACACATGAAGATATCCCAATCACACCACCCAAGCATATATCTTGAAAAGGGGTCTATAGGCGAGCAAAGGTGCAATATCCAAGTTTAGGTTGGGGCTCGTTTCTATAGGTTTGACATTGACATCTTCATCCTCACTTAATATACCAGGTTTTAGCTCAAACCCATTGCTTAACTGGTGGCAAACACCTGGGGTGTTACAGAAACATAGGCCATTGACTTGAATGGACACCAAAAAAATCAAAGATAGATGAGGCTGCCAGTAGGAACAGAGATCGATCTTCCCAGGGGCAGCACAACAATAGAAGGATGGTGTCTGGATAAAAAACCTAGTGGATGAATGGATGATGATATTGCGGCCCAATGGAGACTATAGATAGAGTACACGAGGGACACAGGAGGGAAACCCTAGACTAAGGAGACTACACTAATACTTCCGACTATTATACCTTAACATAATGGAGCATATATCCGTGCCACATCTAGTGCTTGCATTGAGGTTAGTATGATCTATCACTACTAGTCAAAGCTTGATGTTAAGCCAAACGGTTGGTCTATCTCGGGATTCTTGCTTATTCTTGTAGAGAACGCCTCAGTTTAATCGCCCTGGTGATCAGTGTTTACAAATTTCGGGACACCAAGATCAAGTGGAAGTGGCTCGAAAAATGATTTTGAAGGCAGCTAACACTACTACAGAATTGGACATCACTGCCGGCCTCATCACTATCGGATTTTGAGAAACCGACAGTGATAGCCCATCACTGTCGGTTTTTTGCTAAAACTGGCAGTAATAGGACACTGATAGCCCAACCGACACTGATATTCGGGTCTTCACTGTTGGTTCATATCACTGTTGGTTTTAGCCAAGAACCGGTAGTGATATTGGATCATCACTGCTAGTTTTAGCCAAAAACCAACACTGATATTATCACTGACGGTTCGTGGCTTGAACCGACAGTGATATGCTGCAAGAAAACTTCATAAGTTTCTCGTATGATGTCTGATGAAGATGAACTTTATATCAAAGTTGTAGTACACGACGAGATCTACAACTTTGTAGTTCAAACTTTTTTAATTTGAGATCTTTTGGATGTCCAAATATTTTCATTTAAAATCATCTATCTAACGAAAATTACGTTTGATTTCTAAATTTTAAAATTTGAATTTTTCAAACGACCTCGGATGGAGAAACGCCCAAAACAAAAGTTGTAGATCTTAAAAAGTTATGCAACTTTATAGTTGACAACTTTTTGATTTGAAATCATCTTGTCAAGGAAAACTACGTTTGAATTTCTAAAATTTGAAATTCAAATTTTGCAAATGACCTCGGATGGAGAAACTACCAAAATGAAAATTGTAGATCCAAAAAGTTATGAAACATTGTAGTTGGCAACTTTTTTATTTGAAATCCTCTTGTCAAGAAAAACTATGTTTGAATTTCCAAAAATTTGAAATTTGAATTTTTTCAATGACCTCGGATGGACAAACAGCAAAAATAAAAGTTGTAGATCTCGAAAAGTTATGAAACTTTGTAGCTGATAACTTTTTCATTTAAAATTATCTTGTCATGGAAAACTACGTTTGAATTTCTCAAATTTGAAATTCAAATTTTGTAAACGACCTCGGATGGAGAAACTACCAAAATGAAAGTTGTAGATCTCGAAAAATTATAAAACTTTGTAGTTGATAACTTTTTCATTTGAATTCGGTTAGGGTCCTAAATACTCATTTTAAAATCAAATGAACATAAAATGGCCAGGACGAAAATCTGATTCGGACACAAACAACTTCCAGGTGGAGTGGTTAGGGGCCAAAGACGTGAATCAGCAGGTCAGGGGGTCGAGCACCGGTGGCCGCGAAGCGCGCGTTTTTCGTGCGAAAAATCGCGTAACTTGTGACTACCCGGTGGGACGTCTCTTGGTATTAAAAAATCCTATTTTTCAGTTTTTTTTTTTTGGCTTTCCACGTCACTGACGGTTTCACAGTCGGTTTCACATCAGTGTCGGTTTTTCATGCGAAAAATCGCGTAACTTGTGACTACCCGGTGGGACGTCTCTTGGTATTAAAAAATCCTATTTTTTCAGTATTTTTTTTTGGCTTTCCACGTCACTGACGGTTTCACAGTCGGTTTCACATCAGTGTCGGTTTATAAGAACCGATAGTGGCCATTGTCGGTTCAAAATCCGGCAGCGAAGAGGGTTTTTGAACCGACAGTGATGTTAAGATATGGGGTGATGTAAATAAAGTAAATAATGCATAGAAATAAAAAGTTGGGCTTATATAAGTTGCAGTACTATGCTTATTCAAGTTGGGATTAATCTTGTCTTTTTCTGATGATTGCCTGCTAGTCTTACGTCATATCAAATTCTTTGTTTTCCAACCAGAACGCTCGGGGCTACCGTGGGACAACAATTCACGTCTAGCTTCGACTATGCGATTGCTAGCGGAGATATTTCCACGTTGCCCTGCGTCCCGGGCCGGTCCAAGGGCAAGATCGTCCTCCAACAATTCACATTTAGTTTCGCCCGTGCGATTGCTAGCCTAGGTCACCGGCCCATTTCGGGCGCCGCCTCCTTATTGGGGTTACTAAAAATAGTGCCAGTCTATCCAAAACAAAAAGTGTTGGGACACTCGATTTTCTCCTCTACTGTTCATCTTCTTCCTCTCCCCCACTACCGCCCACTGCCCCCTGCCCCTGCCGCGACGTGCTAGGGTTCGCCGAACCCTAGCTAGCGCGCCCATGGCGGCCGCCTTCTTCCCCTCCTCCCTCTCACTGCAGCTCCGCCATGGCCATGCTCGCCGGTGACACCACGACGCCTCCGCCCCTCCCTAGCCTGGCTACCTCCACCGCTGTCAGGGCCCCGAACCACCCGCACCCATCCCCATCGCCTGCCCGGATCGGACTACCTCCCCCTGGCCGACCTCTTCTATGCCCGCTGGACTTGGAGAAGAAGAGGGGGAGATGTCGGAGAGAGCTCGCGCTGAACTTACCCGACGACGGTGAGGTCGTCGTCTCCGACGCCGGCGAGTTCCTCTCGCCAGAACCCTAGCTGCGGGCGCCTTCAGGTGAAATTCGAGTGCTGAGTGAGGCCAAAACACGCTGAGTGTGGTATAGCATTTCTAAAAAAATATCAATGTTCTTCTTATTAAAAAAATCGTCAACCTAAACTCAATACACTGGGCCTTCCGAACGTTAAGAGAACGCTCGCCTAGTGATTGCCAATTAATTGATGTTGGGCAAGCCAAAGGGCATGAGCTGTGGGGTAACAATAGGGTAGTTATGCGGCGGCAGTTGAAGTGCGTCGGCCTGCTGCTCCTGCTGAAACTCCTGCTTGCCGCGCTCAGCCCCGTCGTCGTCGCCACCGCGCGCAGAGGTAAACCTGTTAGAGACTCAGTCATAGCATGCCGCATTGTAAGCGCATGGATGAATGGCACTCGCCACCAACGGCAGTCCGCGTCCGCGTCGCACGCCACGCCCGCAGGCTGCGCTAGCTCGCCGTGCCGGCTTAGCAGGATAGTCAATCGAGCCAATGGCTCTTGTACTTGTATAAATATGTACATCTGAGATCAACAGAAGATACGGTTGATCGCATTCTCCTCTTTCAAAACCAAACACACACGCACGCACTTCAGACAGTTTCTGTTTGCGCAATGTGGCTGGTGCTTGATGCATGCACGATGCACCTCTTCCATTTGCAGAGCTGCCGCTAATGGCGGCCATCGGCGACGGAGGGCGGCAAGACGTGAGCAGCTCAGGAACTGCGGCGACGGCGGAGGGCGGGGACGAAGATGTGATCGTCAGGAGGAGGAAGGATGAGGTGGTGAACACGGACAGCCGCCGTTTCAGAAGAACCAGCAGCTGGAAGCAGATGCCTGCTGCTTCGCCGCAGTTTAACCTCGGTGGCCGGATGATACCCTTCACCGCCGACTACCACTCCGTCCACAGGCACCCGCACACGCACAACTAGAGCTGGCAGGTAGCTTAGCATCAGCCTAAGATATGTGCCTTTCACTTTCAGCAACTAAGCCGCCGTAAGGAGTTCTCCTGTCTTCGTCGCAGAAAAGAAAAGGAAAGGAGTTCTCCTGTCTCTGAATATTCGCCATGTTGGCTTCTGATTCTTGCGGCTGCGGCTGCGGCTGCAACGAACAGGACCGTTACACTACTGAATAGTAGCACCAGTTTATTAGTTTTTGTATAGCTTTATTTAGGTTTGGGTCTTTAGTACTAGTGGCATATATACTATGTTCGTGTGGAAGCTGTATGTTACTCTATTTTTTTTAGTTTTAGTTCTTTAGCAACGATATATAGTATAATAGGTACGCAAGCTGTGCATATGTTGGGGGCCATTTTGTCTGAACATGTAGTCGTCAGTGTGAGCTCTCGTCAGAGGGACCATTGCTGATGATGGATGTTCTCTTCGGCTTCCATCTATGTGTGTACTGTCAAGTAGGGGTGATGATGAACATGATCATCGTCATTTCAAAATAATGTTCAACGTGCGCCTTGCCATGCTCTCTTGTTGTTTCTGTCATGGTCATTGTTGTTAATTATGTCAGTTTTACATGCAATTTGCACATACTACTTGTGAATGATGCGAACATTCTTTGCTGCCGTCTATGTCGATGCTACTGCCTTCATGTTCTTGACATGGACTGCTGGCCAGTTTATTAGCTCTCGCATAAGCCCAGATACAGGACACATCACACATCAACTTGTCAGGCCTGAATAAACATGGGGGGCATGGCAAATACGGTATTGCTACCAATTTGGACGGTTTGGAAGGTGACAAGTAGTGGGGGTAAGCTTCGATGCTGTGCTCGTGGTGGTTGTGGAACCCATGTCTTCCTTCGCTCCACCTGTTGTTGTCTTGTCTCTTATCTGCCAAGGCCGGAGCAGGATCTATCGGTAGAATCGGCAAGCAGCGTTTTCGCAGGCTTGCCCTTCATCTTTCCTTGTATCATGCATGTAACGGTGTGATCCATTTCCATGAATGCACAACGAGAACGTCCCTAGACATTCTGAACAGTACTTCCTGAGTTCCAAATTAAGTTGTTTCGACTTTTCTACAAAATAATAGAACAAAAAATATATATCTTGTCAGAACGATTTATAATTTGAAATAGAGGGAGTATAATTTTGTACTTCCGAGTTAGCTAGCTGTTGACGTCGGAGGTGATACGAATCACACACCAGCAGGGCTAGCACGCCCAAAGGGTTGCAAATCAACCCACAACCAGCAAGAATGTGAGCAAACCAACGAGACCGATCTGAGAGAGATGTTAGGCCGATTTTGGGCTCGTTCCTTGCGTAGAAAACTCCCGAACAACTTCCGGGATGACCCGCCTGGGAAGAGCACGTGGAGGGTGCCCTAGGACTAGCAAGGCTGCCTAGAACGCCGCCAAATCTCGCCGGGAGACGTGACGAACAACAAGGTAGAAAGAAAATAGGGAAAATAGGGTTTGGTGTAGTGTTTTTTACGATTAAGGGTTGGATCCTTCAAACGGTCGTGATCCTCTCATATATATAGAGGGGTGGTCTTATCCCAATAGAAAACAACTTCAGATCATAATCTCTAAGTTTTCTATTAAAAATCTCTTCCAAATCCCAATCAAAAAGAGTTTGAGTCAGACAGGAACAGTCGAACCGGCCTGGACTGTTCCCAAACCGGCTAGGCCGGTTTCGTCGGGCTTCAGTAGCGCCAATATAGCTAGGCAACAGGCAAAGCGCCCTAGCCGGTTCCCAATCCGGCTAGGCCGGTTGAGCAGTGCAGCAGCCAAAGTAAAGCGGCTTGGCCGGCTGCTAAACCAGCTAAGCCGGTCGGCCAGCAGGAAGCAGCAGCAGGGAGGCAAGGGTGCGTGCGGTAGAGAGCCAAGGCGCATGCAGCAGGGCCAGCACTCAGCAGGGGCGCACACAGCAGGAGACAGGAGGCCAGCAGCCTTGCCGTGCAGCAGAACGTTCGCAGCAGGAGACATCGGCCTTGCCTGCCAACATCACGGCAGCATGCTTGCGTGCCCAACGGCCAACCTGGCCAATCAGCAAAGAGAGCACGGCAACAGCCAACCAGCCAGCCTAGCTGGTTTGGTGTGCGGCACATGAACCAACCGGCCTGGCTGGTTTCCCAGCCGGCCAGGCCGGTTTAGCAGGAAATATTGCCGATTTTCCATCTTTCTTTCTGTTTGACGAGATTTTATACAAAATTTCACTAGTATGCATGTACATCTATACGTGCTACTGAAAATAATAGTAAAAGGAAAAAAACATGAATCAAGTTGCATTGGGCCGTGATGAGCTAATGCATAGTGCGCATGCTTATTTACGTGTGCTGGAAAAGAAAGAAGCTTACACATTACTATGCCGTGCATGCATGCATACGTGTTGACATGCAATAGAAGAAGTTAGCAAGTATGTATACGCCCATGTGTGGTATACACTTCTCAAATACGGCGGAGCTCAAACGCCTTTAATTAGCAAGCGATCAGAGCCCACCAGGCAGCCATACACCACATGGCGTCTGTGTACTGGGGGGTCGAATTCAGATCCTGTGCGTATTATACGGCATATAGGTGAAGCCGTGTACGGAGTACGATCTTGTACCACAACCACAGTCCGGCCCGGTGAATTTTTGGGCCGGCGGATGGGAAGTCCAAACTAGAATCCTTCTAGAAGCGTTATCACGAGGGATAATTGCGGCACGTGAATGCTTCACCCGGCGTACGGAGGAAGGAGCGGCTCCGGGTATGTCGCGCTCGCCAACAGATTTTAGGCGGCACGTGCGTGAGGCCAGGAGTTTCGCTGCTACCCTAGCTGCTGTCTATATAAAGGACCCTCAGGTCATCACGGAGAAGATTAATCACGCCCGGCCGCTCGGAGGTAGCCACCACCAGGGCGCTATCCATTCAGAGGCTCGGAGCAGATCGACGAAGGAAGGCAGCCGCCGGCGCCAGGAGCATGACCGCCGCAACGACGCTAGCGGCCAAGATCATCACCAGAGGCAGCCGGTCTACCAGCGCCATCCAGATGAGATAATGGGATCGAGACGGACCGGGTATGAGCCGCCGGCCCGAGATCGAAGGCAGAAGGCAGCCGTCTCGCCGTTTTCCGTCGCAGCAAGGCTTGGCCGGCTAATCACAGGCGCCGAAGACGAGCTCCTCTACGTGAGGAGCAGCCGCTGGTAGTGCCGCAAGCACGAGTAGACGGGCTCGCTGGCCTGGACCGGCGCCATCAACGCGAGATGAGCGCGGCCGTGCGGAAGATGGAAAAGGTGGCCACGGCACGGCACCAGCCACCTCTATCCAGCGCATCTACGATCGGCAGCGGTGTTCCCTCTACGCCCACGTTCATCTACGTCAGCTAACCGCGTCGCCGGAGGAGATCAACGTTGTCTAGACGACCCTGCTCAGGCCGGAGGCCGGTCGCTGTGCATCGGCTTCGTTACGTCCAAGCGAACAGGCGCGAGACTTTCATCCATTTATGCGCTCAATCGGAGAAGAAGAAGGCGTCCTTGAGACGGCTCCATGTGAGGATCGGGAGCGCTGCCGTATTGCACCCCATGTCGGTCTGTGTCCACTGCACGCGTGGCGACATCTGCTCTAGTGCCTGCTCATCGACGCCGTGAGCGGCCCGCAGCCGCACTCTCCTGCTGCACTGTCGCTGAAGGATCGTCGGCCGGCAGCAGCGTGCAGCCGCATGCACTGTCGCTGAAGGCTCGTCGGCCGGCAGCAACGTTTGACCACATATATGAGTAGAGGTGCGCTTGTATATAGGTGCATGCATGCAGGACAACAAGGGCGTCGGCGAGCCAAGCTGATTTCCAGCCGTGGTACGTAGGCTCTTTCATCGCTGCGCCAAGCAGTCCAGACGCTGTCGACAACGGCTCCAACGCCGCCGCCGCAGCCGCACTGAGGAGGCGAACCCGGACGCCGTCGATGACGGCTCCACACCTGCACCAACGCCGCCTCCGCACCACGGAGGCGAGCCCGGACGCCATCGACGACGGCTCCGCTCTTACCCCATAGCGACGCTGCCGCACCCGAGAGGTGAGGTCGGACGGCTCAGCGCGCACAACAAGCAGCGGTTGATCGACGAACGCCCGTGCCATCTACCTGTCACCGCGACGCGGGGCTACTCCGCGCCGCGCCCGTCGAGATCAACGGCGAGGTGCTACCACCACATGCGTGCTTACATGCAAACAAACAATTAAGCAGGAGGGTACCGACTACCATCTCGCCCAAGCTGCATATATACATGCATATACGTGTACGTGCATGCGCTAGAATTACCTCTATTAAGGAATGTGTGCCTTGCATAAGAAAACTACAAGCAAAGCAAAACCATAGGGAGCTCGGCTGTCGTTCGAGCCCTGGATCAAATTTGTATAATTTTATTATCTTTTGTGTATCAGGCCGGTGAGGCGAAGCTAATAGTCTAGCTGCGCTGCACCGACTCATAGGTTGGCGAGGCCTTCTTCTTCAACAACCTCACTGTGATCAAGTTCTACAGCGTATCACAACGATGCTGCCTAAGAAGTCTGAAGCGATCCAAGCTACACCAATTATGCAAGTGCGACTATGATGACACCACGTGCCTTTTGACATCGACGAGGCGAACGACACGGGCAGGCATGGTTGATATTCCAGCCATGTTATACTGGCTTATGGACCAACGAGGCCCTTACGTCAATGCCACCCAGTCTACACCAACACCATGCGTGGAGACGTGAAGCGAAGATTGAAGACGACCACAGCAGCAGAGTCGGAGGTACTCCGTGAGCTACCTCACGGGGGTAATTAACTGGGAGCCTTCCGAGGCCCCAGGACCCATGAAGACCATGATCGTCCAAGTTAGATCGCCGCTAGCACGTTATGGAGCGCATCTTGTTTTAGGAACTTGTATTTGTTAACTCATGGTTAATTAATAAAATACTCGTTCCTCTCTTTATTTTTGTGTACTTTGGTACACTGGCACGCC